TCTGGAGCCATATAACCTCTGAAGAGAAATCAGGAAGAACCATAAGAGTAAGTATTGGCCATGAGCTTGTGGAATAAATTTATATGTTCTTTTCCTTCTATAATCAATCATATACAAGGCGATAATCATTTGTGCTGCTGTTATTAGATGCCATAAAGAAATATGTCTGCGTTTTACAATATTTCCATTTGATATCCATATTGTTCAAAGTATAATTACCAAAATAATAATAATAATAATTTATCCCTTTACCACCAAGTATTCGTATACTAACAACAACTGATTTCCTTCAATGCAACAACCATACAGCTTCACGAGATGGGGATGCTGCAAGGCAGATATCATGCCTATCTCATTCACAAATTCACGATTTCCTTGTTTCGATTTGGCCGATAACTGCTTTACAGCAATTACAGAACCATCTGACAACATACCCTGAAATAAAATAGACTGAGATTTCAGAATGTTTTAAAAGATATTGCTTCCCTTTTATCACAAGCTTTTGCATGTGTGATAGATTTTATACAAGAAGGCCCCATACAGTAGAACATTTTGTCAGCACATAACCAAATTAAATAGTAAACTGGAACATTCATAAATACCTTGTAAACTGGACCAAATCCTCCTTCTCCTATCTTATTTGCAGGGTCAAAATTATTGGTCGCATGTTTAATTTGCCTTAGGCTGAAATAACCAGTTTGGAGATCTAGAGCACGGAGTTCTGTGGTGAGCAGAATCTTAGAATCAGCATGACAAGGATAATCAAAAGTTCACAGCATGCACACAATCAAATAAGATACATGCTTCCTGTGCCATTAATCTTACCTTTATCTTCAAGGTCCTTCCCTCCCAAGTAACCTTTCTTCCGGAGGACCAGCAAAACCAATGCCGCAAGCACACATGGAGCAGCTACAATGCCAATAATAGCTCCAACTGATAATCCGCCACCGTTATCTACCTTAAAGTCTACAAGGAGAGAAATAAATTAAATAACAAGACCGTTGATGGAAACAAAAAATCCTCTTGATTTCGTCAAGACTTACTAGGAGTCACTGTAATGGCAGATATGAGAGGTCCATAGACACCCCTGTCAGGAACAGCAGTAGTACCTTTGCCTGACCAGTATAAGTGTATCTCCAGTGTGCTACCATTAACAATTATACCATCAAATACCTTAGTGATGCCAATACCAACACCTCCAGCTTCCTCCATAATATTGAAATTTGCCTCAACTACCTTCCCCTGCAGGAAGAAGTTCCGAGCATGACTTTTGCAGGTTTTAAAGAGTGTTACCACCCTTTTCTATGGAAACTTGGAAGGGATCCATAACACATGGTAGGTGTCATGAGGTTATTTAGAAATACAATCATAGATAAAAAGAAAAATCCTAAATAAATGCGCTAATTTGAAAATCATTTTACTCACTTGAATTGATATATCAAATATCCGCCTCCCAAGGCTGCTAAAAGTCTGATTATTGGAAAACATAATTTCAGCAAAGTGGAGCTGCACTTTGTAACTGCCCGACAGCATGCACAGGCCATAGTACTTGAGTGATTGAGGAGCAAGGCGAGCAGTTTGGTAAAAACCTGCACCGGTCACATTCAGACCATAAGAATTGGTTGCTTTGTAAGCGCCGTTATTAGTGCCAATATAAGTCCCTGTACTGCTATAACCCCATCTTTCTGATATAGATGCAAAATCAGCTGGCCCCCCTGAAGTTGTATCGTCTTCATATTCATTATCACCAACAGTCTCACTGCTCCCTCCACAGTTTATGAACAAGGAATGGTCTGTAGAACGAAGGATCAATATCATAAGCTGCCTTCCCTAGGACAACAAGTGCTGTATTTATGTAATTACACCTTCATCAAACACCAGAGTACTGTTTTTACACACTTACATTGAGATTTTCTTGTGCAAACAAGGTCCTTGTTCAAGCACCAAGAAATCCTGTAGAGAAGAAAGAGGGTTGTCGATGAGTCAAATTTCTAGATTTCTTAAAAAGGCATCTTAGTGAAGAAGGAACTTACTTGTTACTCCCAGTTGACACATGACTAGCAACTAAGTTCCTATATAATTTCAAAATAGAAGTTAGCAACCAACTTGAGACAAAGGAGAAGAAACAAGTAACGGGAAAAAAATAATGCCTACACTGGTAGCTGTTGACAACTTTGCTCAGCTGATCCAGTAAAATTGTTGTAAGATAAATCCCTGAAATAAAATTTCATGGCAGGGGTAA